TTGTTGGCTGACTTGACACTTGAAATTTGCTGTAAAATCACACTGGAAGCTCACAGCACCAAGGATGGTAAATTTACCACTAAGAAGGATAACCTCTTCAGTTGAAGCTGGTTGGCTCTATCAGGGCTTAATAACCGCAAAAAACTTTTTAAAGGAATAGGTAACATTGAATTGCACTTTTAATACAAGTATAATTTAGCATTATATGTTTAGTTTTGTGGAATAAACCAACACGTGAGCCATGTTTTAGCAGGGAAAACAACTAGCTGTGGCAATGTTACTAAGACCTTATATCTCTTGTGCCTTAAACTCAGGAGTGATCCAGACAAGTTTATTGGTTAGGACTCTATCAGGGCTTAATAACCCCAAAAAATGTTTTTAAAGAAGGGTCTAAAATGTGATAGCTCTCCCAGATGCTATTCAGCATGAAGGACACTATACAAATGCAAGTTGTTGCTCTTGATAGGCCTGAAATCCCATCTTGGATTATTCTGTAAAACCAATTACAGTAGTCTTAACATTTTAAATTCTGCAGGTTTTGGAAAATTCTTCAATTCAGCCTTAATTTGGAAGTTTTTCTTCAATTCTTAAAAAGAAGTGAGCTTCCATATTACGTTTGAATTTAGGAGTTTTCCACAATTCTGTGTTATCCTAAACTTTAAAGACAAATAGTCTTCCAGGCAAAGACTAAGTGAAAATTTGGGGCTGATATTCACAAACAGATTTGCATAAAGTGATTCCTGCCTTTCTTTAAAATTAGAGGCCTCAATCTTTTCTCTTACTATTTTATCACCTATGCCTCTAATTTCTGTTGTGTTGACCTGCCTCTGGTGGCCCCATTATTGACAATCGTGCCTTTATAACCTTTCTGCTCCATTCTTTTTTTTGGTTTATCAGTCAATCTGCAACAAATTCTGCAGCAGAAATTGTGGCTTTTCTATTCAAAACAAGCTTATTTTCTGAAGTGGCATCTCACTGACCCGTGGGAACTCCATTTTAATATAATGCTCTTTAGTGGGCTTCTTATGGGCAGTCTGACTCACTTCCAGTTACTGCCAGGAGTGACTATTTGCTACTCAGAATTGCTGCCTGCAGATCTGCTTGCAAATATTGCATTTTCGACTTCAGTGTTTTGATCAAGGAAGATGGCACAGTAACATGCATGCATATTGACAAAAAGGAATATGTTTTCTTTCCTTCATTCTCGTAACACAATAGAACCTGTGAAGCTGTTTCTAATACTTAGTGACATGCTAACTGCTTGACTGCTTTTAAATTAACATTAAGCAGTCTTACAGTGGCTTATCTTATCAGTTGTATTTCTGAATTTCCTCTCAAGGCAAAAATTCTCTCTTCAGAGGGAATTCACCAAGCTCCTGATTAAATTAATAGTAAATGGTTATCAGGCTCCAATAGCCCAATGATACAAGATAAGTGCAGTGACTGCTTATGATCAATGGCCTGATTCCTGCTAGAAAATTATATTTTGAAACAGCAGAGCAGTATACAAGAATTTACAATGATGTTAGATACAAGAACTGAGAGAAAGACCAATAAATCTCTCAGCTTGTTCTATAAGGTAAAGATCTCAGGATGCAGGCTCCTCGGCTGTCTACATAAGCAGACACATTAATAATTCAGGAATATTCTCCCATCTTCTTTATGGCTTTAGCCAAGGGATTTACAACATTTGAAAAAGTCTTCTCTCTTTCCAAGTATGAACAAACACGAAAATATTAAATAATCGATTTCAATTGAAATTGTTGATTCTGACAAAAATGTTCAGCTCAATGTTTAGAAAGCAACAAAAACTTTCATTTATATAGCACTCCATGTAGAATTATATCTCAGAGTGTAAGCAATCTATAGGTAACATTCGCCCACAAAAATTCACAGTCAATCCACTTTACAATATATTCTGTGAAGCACTTTTGTAAGGTTCGAATAAATTTGTGACCCTAAATTGAAGAATGAACTAACACAAACTTCCTTTTTAAGTATAAAATATGATAAAACAATAAAAATGCATATCATAGTTACACGTTTCATCAAATCAAATTAATGCTTAAAACGAGTTAGTAAAGTTTACTGCAATAGGTTGATCGGATCAATCTAACGGCCTTGATATAGGAATCGACTTGTTAACGTGGGTCAATCCATGTTGATTGTAGTATATCCCTCATTCCTTGGGATTGACTGTGGTTAGCTATTCCATTCCCAAAACTTAGCTCTTCCCTTTAAGCTTTTGGTAGAGGGCAGTGGAGAGAGGAGTTCCCAGTAGATTGGCTTAAGTAAAATCACATACCTGCAACAAGCAAAGAAGCTGCTAATTACATTTCAAGTTGTTAGTATTAAATTCAATGGAATCCAAACACAACCCTCTTCTGAAAGGACATAACGTCTTATCAAAATTCCAACAGCTTGTTTCAAACAAGTCTTTGTCTGCCCACGATGATGTTGATAATTCTTTCAAAAAAAAATTATTTGGTCACTCAATCCACCACTGTTTATGGGACACTGCTGTGCACAATTGGCTGCCGCATTTCTCCCACAAAATATACAGTCAATTCACTTTACAGTATATTCTGTGAAACACTTTGAGACGTCTTGAAGATGTGATAAGGCACTATGTCAAATGCAAGGATTGTTATCGAAGAAAACTTTGTTCCGTAAAATTCCTTTCATAGTCCTTGGCCTTCATGCATTTATGTATATCGTCAGCTTTTACAAAGTAAGCTAATCCATGAGACAACTCAGAATTCTGGGATTACTTACACTTTGAGAAGTCTCAATGACATGATAAGGCCTATATCAAATGCAAGGATTATCCACTGAAAGTTTCCAATCATTGCAGGCACCTGTTTAGTATTAGGACAGCGCTCTTGAGACCCCACCTTGCCTGAATGGCACTATATCAATGCAAGTTGTTGAAATATATAACCATTTTAACTTTAAGATTATAATCTGAAAATTTAAGTTCATGCAGAGTTTCGAAAATTCTTAAATTCAGTCAGAATTTGGAAGAAAGTTTTACATAGTTTTACATTTCCTCCATGTAAAAAGAGAAACTGCTTAAAAAATTAAAACTGAATTTTACAACGTTCCTAAATCTGTGCAACATTAAATTTTAAGACAGTTATCTTGAACACTTAATAGAATGAGTACTTTTGAACTATGAACATGATCACCGAGTAATAATTTGAACCAGTTATTTTACTGAAGCCTTGAAGTGATTTTAGAACATCTGAATTCTATACAATGAGAGCAAACTTGTGGGGTGGGTTTATTTTGTGCTAATAGCATTTCTCAGAGGGAATACTCAAAACAATGCACTTGATGTTTGACAGCGTTCTTATTAAAGTATAATCCTTGCACTTGATATAGCGCACTTCACATCAGGAGGTCGTCTCAAAGTGCTTCACAGGCTTTATTGTGAAATGGAGTGAATGTATATTTGAAGGCCCGCAAATAGCCATGAGACAAATTACCAATTATATTTGTTTTATTAACAGTTGTAATACAAACTGGGCATCTTTGATGCAGAATAATGCACATTTGACTCTTGGGAAATAACTTGGCCATTTAATTTTCAAACAGTTATAATCTTATAGATTGGCAAACAGGCTCGAGGGGCTGAATGACCTACTCCTGTTTCTATGATTCTATGTTCTATGCAAACAAAAGCAATTACTCATCCAACTCCGCTAATGCCTCATTCCAAAAACTGCTGAAACCCTGGTCCATGCCGTTGTCACCTCTCGCCTGGATTATTAAAATGCCCTCCTCGCTGGTCTCCCCTCCACTACCATCCATAAAATCCAGATTATTCAATATTACAAGAGATAAGGGAATAGAGGTCTATGGAGGGAGGTGAGGGGAGTTTAGGGAGAAAGAATTAGAATGGTTGGAGATTATATTGTTGTATAAATACTGGCATAAACTAGTTGTGTCAAATGGTTTGTTTCAATGCGTTTAAATTCTTTGTAATTTTATACTCAAAAGATCTTTGATGTGAAAGGCAGATCAACTCATTAGTCATTCAGACCTGAGGTTATATCCATTCTGTCTGATATTCTAAATCAATGGTTTTGGACTTCAATTCTTTCCCTTCAATTTTGATAGATCTTGAAGGTTACAATCTGTGATGAAAACTTTCCATCTTCACAACTTCACACAAACACGTTCATACAAACCCGTTTCTTTACAAATGTTTTCCTAGAGTAAATGTCATTTCCTGAATAGTCTTCCTCTTCGTTATACCATTTTTGTTTAAATATAAAAAGGGGGAATAAGAAGAACAGAGGAAGCAGTGGCATAGACGCAATGGGCCAAGAATGCCTGTTTCAATATCTTCCTGCTTTGAAAAGACATTGGGTTGAAAACATTTTTTTTTCAGCAGATTCAATATCACATTGATTCTGTTTGGCCACATTGATTTTTTTTCACTGCCAAATTATCACAGCATTAACTGAGCAACCGTGTTTCAACTATGAAATTACATGGTATGAATGCAGAGCATAGAAAATTAGGAGGGCAACTTTGAGAATATATTAAACATAACTATTTATTCATACATTGTATTTAAAACATCAATCTGGTCTTCACTAATTCAGCCTTGAATGTTAATTATTGTATATTATAATACACAATAAAATTTACCTTTATATAGCTCATTTCAAGTCGGAAGGACATCTCAGAGCTCTTAAATAGTTGAATGAAGCTCAAACAATAAATCTACCGATATCCTTATCCTTGTGGTGTTACTGAATAAAAAGTACACCAGTCTGTTTCAACGCAGTTTGGAGAAAAGACAAAATGACTTCACCTCCCATCTCAAACATCCATGCTACTCAAGAGCTGAAACATATTTAGAAAGCCTTGGAATTTATCCTCAACATAGTTTCCTGCTTAGTGTTATTTTGTCCTTGTGTTACTATTGATGCATTTTACTTCAGTTTTCTTAGAAAAGTCATTGCTATATCTGCTTGTCTGCCTCACAGCTATTGTGGTCCTGTTCATCACCCTGAAGCGAGGTAAGAAAGAACCTCTTATTATTTCCGAAGAAGACATCAGAGAGAACGTTGTGACATATGATGACGAGGGAGGAGGGGAGGAGGACACCGAGGCATTTGACATCACAGCCCTCAGAAACCCTGCAGCGGCTGAGGAAGTGAGGTATCGGAGAGATGTCAGGCCAGACGTGCAACCCATGCCCAGACACAGACCACCATCAATCGTGAACAGTTCCGACATTCATGAGTTTATTAAGCAAAAACTGCAGGAGGCTGACCTTGATCAAAGCGTTCCTCCATATGACTCTCTCCAGACATATGCATATGAAGGTTATGGATCAGTTGCAGGTTCGATAAGTTCTTTAGATTCAGTCACCGCACACTCTGAACAGGATTATAATTACCTTGGTGACTGGGGACCTCAGTTCAAAAAGCTGGCTGAACTGTATGGAGAAGAGGACTCTGAAAGAACCACTTAGTTTCAACAACCATACTGATACACTTGTATGTAAAACAAACAAAAAATCAAGCTGATTTTTGTTTTGAAAGCTACAATTGTTACACAATTTTACTGTAGCGACAAGTGCCCTTTTAATATTTTGAAACATGGGTTCATCAAGCAAATGAAAAGAAAGCATTTTGAAAATATAAAAGAATAAACAAATATTTTCCCTGGTGTATATTTTTTATTGTTTAATAAAGTCCACTGATCCGTAATAGGAGACTGTGACATAGATTAAGAATAGGTTGTTTGGTTTCATATTTTGATATAGTAAGAATATGGGAAGATCCAGAAATAAAACTGTAGTGTTGTGAAACATCATGATCACTATTTTTTTTTAAATTGTAGACATTATTGGTATTTTTCAAATGCAGAAATGAGCAAAATCAAGTATACAGCAGTTTCTATTTTGTATACAGGAAATGCATTATAGATGATGAGCATAGTGCACTTGTAATAGCTCTGTAATGTCATACTGATCCCTGCTCTATAATGTACTCCACTGGGCAGTACTCAGTTTCTAGGGGATTAATATCATTTGAGACCACACTGTAGAGTGATCTGTGCAATGCTGTCACAAAGAAAAGCATGTGCAATGTCTTGTAAACATAGAAAAGAAAGATTGACTTCAAATTGTTTTCCTTCTGCGCACTCGCTGATGGATCCCAGCATGGGACGACCACTTTGTGGGATGACTGGTTATCTCACTGGCACCTGTTATCAAGCAGCAAGTATAAATATATTTCAGATGAGACATTAACCCGAGGTCCCATCTGCCTGTTCAGGTGGATGTTAAATATGCCATGGCACTATTCAAAAAGAAAAGAGTTTCTCCCGGTGTCCCGGCTGATTACCCTCCAAATAAAAATAATTGTTCACTCAATGTGGGACATTGCTGCGCGCAACTGTCTGCCTTATAGCACCCACAAAATACAATTTAAAGTACATCCTGTAAAGCGCTTTGAAACATTTCAATGAAACATTTCAATGTTGTGAAAGGCTCTCTATCAAATGCAAGGATTACTATAAGTAACCCTATTATGTAGATAGCTGACAATTACTGTGTAACTCTTATTTGAAGAAAAATAATAATATTTAATAAGGTACTAAAGGAGTCCTTTAGCCTTAAGGACCAGAAGAGAAAAATGAATGATAATGCATTTCTACAAAGAAAAGAAGGAAGGATGTAAGCAGGCAAGCAAGAACATGTTTTGGAATAACAGAGAGTGAGGTATCACTCTGTTTGTGTTTTCCTGTAGGGCTCTCCCTATGGCACTATTATTGGTTCAATTCCCTCATTTTGTGCTGAGTGAGCAACTCAGCCAGGGTAGTGAAATGGGCTGTAAATTTGGCCTCAATCTCAAGGGCAAATGAGGTGAAAATTGATTCATGTTTCCTGCTTGTAATCTCTAACATCTTCTCTCAACAGCAATCCCCCCACCCCCCACCTTCATTGTTTAGTGGAAAGTGTTTTAAGTAGGTGTCATCGGGTACAGAATTGGACTTCGCTGTGACTTTACCTGCCGAGATCCATTTGGGTTGCAAAACGTTATTCAAGAAAACAAGCAATGCAAATGGCACTTTTCAGCGAAAAGAGCCCCTGGAATCAAAGTGTGTTTTCTGCATGAACTCCACACATGCAGGAAATTGGCTTCAGTTTTCTTTATGAACATTTTTTCAACCCCATTGATTGTACTCAAATATGAAGAATAGCATATTGAAGTGAAACCAAAGAAGAGAAAGGGCTGATACTCCTGCCACAAAATGAATCACCTTCGTTAGAGGAGAGCGAGGAGAAAGTCTAAAAACAAATATAATAATTATAATAATAATAATCCTTGCATTTGATATTGCGCTTTTCACGTCTTCTAGATGTCTCAAAGCGTTTCACAGACTATACTGTAAAGCGAATTGACTGTATATTTGTGGGCGAAATGCGGCAGCCAATTGTGCACAGCAGTGTCCCACAAACAGTCGTGGATTGAGTGACCAAATTATTATTGTTTTTTTTTGTGAAGGATTATTATCCCTGAAAAAGTGATCTGCCAATCAACTAACAACCTGGTTCCTACTTACCGCTAGGTAAACAGGGTAAGGAAACTTGCCCAACATTTGGCCCTGCCAGGAATAGAACCCGGGTCTCTCGCTTGCGAGGCGAGTGCTCTAGCCACTGAGCTACAGGACTCCATTCTATCTCTGTCCATCACTCACCATAATAATGACAATTTGATCAATCTTGATATTGGCATCAGGCTTCTCCAGAATATTGTTGAGTTAAAGGAAAGAGCCAAATGATAGGGCTTTACAACACAGATTGGAAACAAAATGCAGCACCTGCCAAATGGTGTTCTTAACAACCCAGATCTTCTCAATCCTTGGAGAGGCTGTGATATGAGCACGACTTAGCTTTAGCCCAAGCATAAAGAAGACGGTGAAATGGGAGACAGACAGCAGTGTTGCAACAGTCTTGTTGCACTATGCAGTTCAGAAAAGGTGAGAAATTACACAACCACAGGAGCAAGCTCGCTGTACAGTGGAGAAGCTGAGTCCATTGAAGGAAGCCGTGCTGGATTGCAAATCACTTATACACGATTATTTGATCTTGTCAAAGGCTTTCACCAACTATTGGTGTTTATAAAGTGAAAATTGAGACATTCTTAGGAAGGATGATAAACATTTGCATTTTAATAACAATATTATTATTGATCTGCATTTTAATAACTGGAACTTGTGCAAAAATTGTTCGATATAGAAATTACATTTTAAAACCTGTAAAGAAATTAGCTTGAATTATTGTATTAAAGGGGAATTTACTTAAATGCATTTGGTAAATCTTAGTTTATTTTATTCTTAGTTCATCTTATTTAATGAATCTTCAACATGAATAATTCCACTTTGCTGGTCACTTGAACCAGCCACTTGCCTAAAGCAATCGCTATTTATTTTATGTGTTGCAGTGGATTCAATATTTTTGTTGCACTGCGGCCTCCTCAAGTGTTATCCACTGAGCTGCTCCCTTTGCTCAGTGAGCACTGATCTGCTTCATGTCCCCAATCCTATCTACCTCATCATTGGTCTTTCTACCCCGACACTCTGAAACTCGATCCCAGAGTCCCTCTGATTTGTTTCTTTCCTCAACTCGTTCAAGGTCCATCTAAAGACCTACTTGTTTGACCACACTTTTGGTCATCTTTCCCCTCCCCACCTCTCCACCCCCATCAGCCCCCACCCCAGCTCACGTGCCCACCACTTTCATACATCCTCCTTGTGTATAAATGTAAATTTATATTGTATTGTCGTGAATAGAAAATCTGCCTGAATTTAATAACTCACTCGATGCAACAGCTTTCCCATTTGGCATCATTAACAATTATTTTCTCCTCATCATTAGTCGGGATGAATTTCTGGTCAGCATTATGAATAGTATCTTTGACTATGAGAGTTATAATGGGGAAATTCTACTGGCATCTGTCATCAGTATGACGACCAGAATTTCAGCCTAGTTATGGCACAGCCCAATGAGAAGTTAACAGTACATGAATACCAAGAGCATAGGAATTTCACATTGAAAACATTCACCAATAAAATTGCACATATAAAGATTTCAAAAGTTACATTAGACGAGGACATTGAATGTAACATATCTAAATTCGCGGATGACACTAAACTAGGTGGGAGAGTAAGCTCTGAGGATGATGTAAAAAGATTGCAACGGGATATAGATAGGCTAGGGGAGTGGGCGAGTAGGTGGCAGATGGAATTTAATGTGGGGAAGTGTGAAGTTATTCACCTAGGTAGAAAAAACAGAAAAACAGATTATTTTCTAGAGGGGGAGAGATTAGATAGTGTTAGTGTGCAGAGAGATTTGGGTGTCCTTGCACACCAGTCTCAAAAAGTTAGCTTGCAGGTGCAGCAAGCAACTAAGAAGGTGAATGCATGTTCACTAGGTTAGTTCTTGGGATGAGGGGACTGACCTATGAGGATAGACTGAATAAACTAGGACTATATTCTCTAGAGTACAGAAGAATTAGGGGAGATCTTATTGAAACATATAAGATTCTTAAAGGGCTGGATACAGTAGACACTGAGGGTCTGTTTCCCCTGGTAGGAAAATCTATAACCAGGGGTCACAGCCTTAAAATTAAGGGTCAGCCTTTTAGAACAGAGTTGAGGAAACATTTCTTCACTCAGAGAGTAGTGAATGTATGGAATTCACTACCTCAGAAGGCTGTAGATGCTCAGTCCTTGAATATCTTCAAGGCTGAGACTAATAGATTTTTAAAAAATAGAGGGATTAGGGGATATGGGGATAGGGCAGGTAATTAGAGTTAGGTCTGAAGTTAGGTCATGATCTTATCAAATGGTGGGGCAGGCTCGAGGGGCCGAATGTCCTACTCCTGCTCCTAATTCTTATGTTCTTAATCGAATTCCTTCACATATGTCCAGTTTCAATGGGAGTGCTTTTAAGATGGATAATTTGCTTCTTCTGGGAGATGTGACAGTATGAACCATTAGTTGCTCTATGACAGGATGAGTCCTGGAAGAGGAGAAAGAAGTGGCAGGTCGGAACAGCATCATACTGTAATGATACATTCTGCAGCAAGGGATGAAACTGCAAATCAAAACATTCTCCGGTGAAGTTGGTGATTATTCTCATTGAGAACAATTATCCGAAAGTTCAAGAGTAGGACAGTAACTTCAGATTCTGACTATTACAATTCAGAAAGCAATGCCTCTTACCTGTGACAAATCTTGGTAGTTTGTCGCCTATCATCCCCTGCGTCAGAGCAATTGGACATGATCTTGACTTAATTGCTTTTTAGCTTTCATCTCTTGCCACAGCTGTTAGACTGAATGGGCAATTGCAATTGGACAAGATCTTGTCTTCATGGCCTTTTCTAGAGTTAGTGCCTTTGGTTTGGACTGAAGCCTGATATAACTGTTCAGATGGTCTGGAAAACTGGGTGATTGAACCAAACATCTTGAAAAGAATACTCCCAATTGACACGTCAGCACTTTGACAGTATTGTATTTACTGGCATATATTTTAGGACCAGAAAATGGACAATTAACTTCAAGTGTATTTATGCATCAGGGAGCTTGAACATTGTGTGCTTTTGTGACTACTTTTCACACACACCATATGTTTGCACACAGAAGCATACAGGAAAATGCAGGATTCATTTTTTTAAAAGCCAACTACTGGTAATTTCATCTGCATTCAAAATAGCAAAGGATATTTTGGCTAATATCTTTAGTAAGCTTACTGTCTTCAAATA